TTTTTTGAATATCATACATGTACATATATAAACTACTTAATTTAATAATAAAGTTGTAATTAAAAAACAAAATCGTTATGATATTTTTTAATTTCGGAATAATAAGTTTATAATAGTAAATTTTCAAATAATAATTATACATAATAATTTGTTACATAATAACAATTTTATATTTTGTATAAGTGTGTATATGTTTAATATTATACATTACATATTTTAATTATTACAATTTTTATATGATATAATATTATACATACATTTTCCGTAAGTGACGTAGTCAAAAATACCAGCTATTTCGTCCGGTGTTTCAACAGGATTTGTCATTGGATGTGTTGAAATCGAAGCATCTTGTGACAGAGCAGAATGCACCTCGTAAACCACAAATTGATCCATGAAGTTGTAGTTTGGGAATATCTAGAGAATAGAAATTATTACTATTTGAAAATTATTTGTTACTTATAGTATAATTATATTATTATTTATAATATCTGCGTTCTTTATATTATTTAAAAAAATTATTGTACAATTGAATTTTTCACAGTAAACTGGCACGTTCTTTTAAAAATTTGAGAAAATTTTAAAAGTAAAAGAAAATTAAATGTTAGTTGATTTCTCGAATTTTTAAAGGAAAATAATTCGTTGTATTTCAAATATGAAATATTACATACTTGATCAGATGTAAAAGACTCGAAATATTGCGCGAAACCCTCGTTAAGCCAAATATAATCCCACCAGTCGCAAGTAACGAGATTTCCAAACCACATATGAGTAAGTTCGTGCGCTATTACGGTAATTATATATTTTTCATATGTAGCTGTAGTTTCTTTTTCGTCATAGAAAAGTCCATATTCACTGATAAAAAAATTAGATTATTTATATGAAATTAGTTACATAAAATCTAAATTTGAATAGATAACATATATCTATTTCAATAATTATTAAGGAAAAGTAATATTATTACCGGAAAGTAGCAAGGCCCCAGTTTTCCATTGCGCCCATAGAGAAATCTGGAATTCCTATTAAGTCCAGCTTAGGTAAAGCATAATCAATGTTCGTAATATTCTGCAATACTTTAATAATTGCTATGCTGATATTTTGAGCGTATTTGCCATATGCTGCGACTTCCGGTCTACCCCATACGTTGAAAGTTACGTTTTCAGGCTCAACCGCTGATTTAAATTTGGAGACAACAAATGCAACCAAGTATGTTGACATACTGACATTGGTAGTGGCGAATGTGTCCCACATATAATTATCG